TCAAACAGACAATATGACAGCGAAGGCCTGTGTCAACCGACAGGGTGGGACTCATTTCAAGTGGTTACACGAAGAAGCAAGCCTACTAATAACATGGGCAGAGAGATGCATATTATCCATAAAAGCACTACATGTGGCAAGTCGGGAGAACATGGTGGCAGACTGGTTGAGTCGCCGGTGGGTAGATCAATCAGAGTGGATGCTCAACCTGATGGTGTTCACTCAAATCTGTCAGAAGTTTGGAACACCAGTAGTGGACCTTATCGCAACAGAGCAGAATCGTCAAACGAGAAGCTTTGTGTCAAGAGTAAAAAAATCTATTAGCAATAGGCATAGACGCTCTACACATGGAATGGCCAAGGGTATTGCTTTATGCTTTCCCACCGATTCAAGTCATACAAAGGATAATCCAAAAAGTGATAGACCAGAAAGCAGAAATCATTCTAGTGGCCCCATTTTGGCCTCGACGAACCTGGTTCCAAGATCTACAGAGACTATCAGTGGCAGATCTGTGCCGTCTACCACCAATGGAGGACCTACTGACCCGGAGGAAGTAGTTCATCCACAACCAGGGTTGTTAAAACTCATAGTGTTGAAATTTAACACTAGCAGTTGAGGGGAATAGGTTACCCACAGGATGTAGTTCAGACCACGCTGGCAGCTAGGAGGGGATCCACTAACACAGTATATAACACCACATGGCAAACCTTCCATTCGTGCTGTGTGGAACGGGAGCAGGATCCACTCGTAACACCTATTACAGAGATCTTGTCTTTTCTTCAGGATGGTATGGAGAAGGGTCTTAGTACCAGCACCCTGAGGAGGCAGGTGGCAGTCATCTCTGCCATTAGGGGGACCACTAAGGGCCATTCATTAGCAAGACACCCACTTGTCAAAAGATTCCTGAAAGGGGCTTCCCTATTAAATCCCCCGACAGTACATAGGTTCCCGACATGGAACCTCAAGGCACTATGTAAGGCTGCTTTTGAGCCAATGGCTACTTGTTCTGTGAAGGAACTGACGTTTAAGATGGTGTTCTTTGATGGCGATCACCTCGGCGCGGAGAGTATCAGAGTTGCAGGTGTTATCCATAGATAAGGAATTGTGCATTTTCCATAACGACAGGGTGGTGCTCCGTATGGACCCAGCCTTCGTTCCTAAAGTAAATTCAACCTTTTATAGGTCCACGGATATTGTTTTACTCTCATTCTGCCCTAACCCATGGAGTGAGAAGGAGAAGGAGGGTGCTCCGCTTCTACTTGGATAGAACAAAACATGTAAGATCATCTGACTCCCTCTTCATTTCCTTTCGAAAGTCATCCCTGGGCAGGAAGGTATTGCCTTCTTCATTAAGTAGATGGATTAGAGGGTGCATAATCCTGGTGTACAAAGCAAGGGGACTGGATCCACCACAGGGGATAACGGCTCATTCCCTTAGTGGGGTGGCTACCTCAGTGGCATATAGAGGTTTCCCTTTGCTAGATGTAGTTTGCAAGGCAACTACTTGGAAGTCTGTACATTCTTTTACAAGACATTATAGAATCGACAAATCGGTTTCCGTGGATGCCACCTTTGGTCGTAGGGTTCTTCAACACACCCTGTAGACTCAGACTCACCCTGTAAGGTACTTCTGTTTTATGGCCCAGGAGTAAGGAGTCTGGAGGACTGCCCCACTCCTGGACCACCAGAGAATGGAAGATTTATCTCCACTTACCGTGAAGCTTCCTTCTCGGTGGTCCAGAGTGGGGCAGTCCTGCCCGCCCTTTGGATGGGATTGCTTCTGTCGTCTGCAGGGGGGTTGACACATAAACGCAATCAAGTGAGGTGTTAATAGTTGTTTCTGGATGGGGGGGAACCTCTATCAGTTTCTTTCGGTCTCAAGGGAGATGGGACAAGAGCCTAAATGGTTGATTGCCCTTGGGGGTTGAGGGTGTGTACCGGGCTTGTTGGTTAGCTCCCCATTGGGAGTGGTTTGTTGTTAGTTTCCTTTTAGAGAAGGGGAATGGAGGCTTGGAAAACAACTGGAAGTCCAGGGGACAAGCCCCTCCCCTCCTAACTGAAGTGTCTGCTGGCCCTGCCTACAGAGAGGAGGAGGAGCTAGCTCCTAGGAGTAAGGACTCTGGAGGAATGCCCCATTCTGAACCACAAACGCCTGCAGTTAGGCTTGGGGAAATCCAGCCAAACCCTTGCATCTTTCACAAAGCAGGGGTGAAGTTCTGTGGGTTTCTTTTAAAGAAAAACAGCTTTTTTCCCTTTGTTCAAGAGCAGGTCAATCAAATTATAACAGGCTCTAATGAATGCTCATGTTGAGTTTAGTTCCTTGGATTTCTTTCCCCAAGAGTGCAGCTGCTTGGTATGTGTATGGGTGTGTGAAATGCTGTTTGCAGTTTTTGGAAAAGAGGCCTAAAACTCATGACAAATTTTGGACAATTTGTGGTTCGCAAATGGAAGTTCATGGCATGCCAACTGATATGAACTTTCAAGCCATTCGTGGGCAATTTCTGTGGTCCAAGAATGGGTACATTTCCAGATAGACTGTCTCCATGCAATCAAAATATTTACCAAACTTCTTATCGGTTTCAAGAACACCCCCGTCCCTACTAGGGTTGCTTTGTGTTCCCTTTCCATTTTCTTGCACAGAGCTTGCAAAATCCCCCCCTCCCCCGGCTTGGATTTGTGACTCTGTGCTTTGAGATCAGTCCTTTTAAGCTAGAAATTTCAGTGGCACTGGGCTTGCAAAATCACCTCCTCCCCCCAGTTTGGATTTCTTGTGACTGTTCTTTGAGATCAGTTTTAAACTTGCATTGTCACAGTGGCACTGGGTTCTACTGAGCATTTTCTACATTAAACTGGTTGTGCTGGACTTGCAACCCCCTCCTTTCTTGGATTGTGACTGTACTTCACATCAATCCTGTTGAGCTGGCATTGCCACAGTGGCACTGGATTCTGCTGGGCTTCCACACTGCAGTGGTTCTGCTGGGCTTCCACCCCCCCCCCCCACTTGGATTGTGATTCTGTGCTTGACATCAGTCCTGCTGAGCTGGCATTGCCACATTGGCACTGAGTCGTGCTGGGCACTCTGTGATTGCTCTGGTATTGCTGGGCACTCTGTACATTCTACTGGTTCTGCTGGGCTTGCAAAAATGCTCCCTTGCTTGGATTGTGATTCTGTGCTCAACATCAGTCCTGTTGAGCTGGCACTGCCACAATGGGTTTTGCTGGGCACTGGTACATTGCACTGGTTCTGCTGGGCTTGCAAAAATGCCCCCTACTTCAGTTTCTAATGCAGAGATTCTCTGGTTAACCTTAGTCCTGTTAACCTTAGTCCTGTTGGGTTCGCACTGCCACTGCTGGGCACATTGCACTGGTTTTGCTTGGCTTGCAAAATGTCCTCCACCTTCAGTTTCTACTGCAGAGATTCTCTGGGACTTTGATTCTGTTCTGCTGGGCTTCTATTGCCCTTGCTTTTTTGCTGTTTTCTTCCTCCATTGCAAACAATGGAGGATGGGAGCACCTTCTCCGAGGGGCTGTAAGTTGGACCCCATAAACCCAATCTTGGAGGGCAGGTTGAGGAGACTCAGCTGGAGATCCCCTGTGAGTTTGGTATTTCTAGCACACCGGGGTGGAGGGGATGTGATGATGGCCACAGGCACAGATTACTTTAGAAGAGAAGAGATTGGATTTATACCCTGCCCTTCACTATCTGAAGGAGTCTCAGAGTGGCTTACAAACTCCTTTCCCTTCCCCTCCCCACAACAGACACCCTGTGAGGTAGGTGGGGCTGAGAGAGCTCTGACAGAAATTGCTCTTTTTCAAGAACAGCTGTGCCAGAACTATGGCTTGCCCAAGGTCATCCAGCCAGGTGCAAGTGGAGGAGTAGGGAATCAAACCCGGTTCTCCAAGATTAGAGTCCGTGCTAGACAGATTCATGGAAGTGGGGGCTAGACAGATTCATGGAAGTGGTTATTAGTCATGGTGTCTAAGGGGAACCTTTGAATACTAGGAGGCAACATCAGGGGAGGGCCTCAGCCTCCATGCCATATTTATTGGATCTCCAGTGGAACTGGTGAGACAGCATGCTGGACTAGATAGACCAGCAGGGCTCTTTTTCCCCTTATTTGTTTGTGGAATTGGGATGCAATGGGGGAATAGAAACTGTGTTTAATGCAGTTCCCCTTCTACAAGCAGTGGTGCTATAAATGTTGCACTTTAACATTAATTTTTTAATGAAAGCACATAGTGCATTTGGGACAATGGAACATACATCAGATGATTCACATGATATAATTTAATTTAGCTTTTAAATTGTGTCTGAAGAAATACCTTGTGCTAACTCTTGCGAATGTGAAAAAGACAGTGGCGATACAATTGCTTTCACTTAGTGCAAGTTATTTGAAACTAGATCCTTTAGGATGATGAGTCATAAGCACTAGGACTATTTTACAAGGGGAAATCTTCTGTGGAGACCACCCCAGTGAGTTTACCAGTGTTCTGACAAGACATTGGAATTCAGATCAGATGTGACCCTTTGTCAGGTCCCCAGTTAATACACTCTCCACAACACTATTTGTAGTGATGCTTTATTAGAGATATGCTTACATCAGGAACTGGATTTTTGTCAGGACTAAGGAACGCATGAAAACTCCAGGTTATAGGTAAAACCAAGTACATCCCCCACCCCATGCATTCATCAGCAATCAGCCCCTAGTGTTACTATGGCAACCCTGAGATATATCTAAGCTAGCAAGGCAGAGAAGTCTCCAAGGCCAAATCCCATGAGAAAAGGCCAAGGGGTACAACTTAGGAAATGGTTATGGCTGCTACTGGCATTCATTCTAACAACACATACGCTCCCCTCAGGAATTCCCTCCTCGCTAAGGAAAGCAGTGAAGCAAAACGAAGTGAAGCGAAACTGTAACCTTGACACATTTCCACCCTAGCACAGTTCTAGGTGGGGGAAAAGATGGGCTCTCTCTCTCTTCTTTCTATGTATTAGTGGGATGGTTTCTGTTGGCAAAATCATGTATAGGTTAGGTTTATTTACTTACTTAATTTGTTTCCTACTTCTCTCCGCTATGGGGACCCAAAGAGACTTTGCATCATTCGCTTTTCCTCTATTTTATCCTTACAATAACAACAACCCTTGAGAGGCGGGTTAGGCAGAGAGTGTGTGGCTGGCCCAAGGAACTGCAGTGAGCTTCCTTGGCAGAGAGCAGAGACTCGAACCTAGGTCTTCTGGATTCTAGTCTGACATTCTAGCCACTCCACCACACTAGGGGCGATTTCTCACTAGAGCTGCCTCGCAGCACAGCCGCCGTTTGCCCCAACACAAACATGTCAGTTTCACACCCGAAGCTCCGGGGCTGCATTTTGACTCGCGGCTTCACTTGATTTCCTCCGCAGTTTCGTGATCCTAGTTTTTGAGGATCATGAAACTGCGGAGGAAATCGGGTGAAGCCGCGGGTCAAATGCAGCTCCGCAGCCTCGGGTGTGAAATTGACATGTTTGTGTTGGGGCAAACGGCGCTGCGCTGCGAGGCAGCCCTAGTGAGAAATCACCCTAGCTAAATCCTTATCCTCCAGCCCTGATCTGAGTTGGGGCACTGGACAGCTGCTGTTTCACTTCTTTCACTGGTCTCTTGGGGCATCATCTAGATATGTACATCCTAAGCCATCTACTCACAAATTACTTTGATAGGATTGCAGTTGTCTGCCTGTGATCCTGCAATAATAAAGATAATTTAGAATGTTTATTTTTCCCCCTTTTCTCCCCAGCCCAGAACTGCAGTTACATTTTGCAAGGTCCAAACGGGACAGTGCAGAGTCCTGGCTTCCCATATGGTTATCCAAATTATGCCAATTGTACATGGACAATCACCGCCGAGGAGCAGAACAGGGTGCAGCTTGTATTCCAGTCCTTCGCTTTAGAGGAAGATTTCGATGTTTTATCTGTCTACGATGGATTGCCGCTGCAGGGAAATTTAAGAACGAGGTATGGAAATGCGTCTGGCTATGACTTTTTTTGTTCTGTTTGTTTTTTTAGCATCCTTTCTCTGGTTGGGGAAGTGTTTGTAATCATTCTGAGATGTCTGTTGGTTGGATTAAAACATTTATGAAAGTTTTGTGTTGCAGTAAGAGCCAGAGCTATTTATTTTGGTGAAGTTATCTCAATTTTCTGGATGTCACATGCTTGATAAGGCCTCAAAAGTATTGCTTAAGAGTATTTGATGGCGCAGTGTTATCGACTCTGAGTTGCCACTTGAAACATCTGGAGAAGTTGATTTAGAAGTTGGTAGCAGAGGATCAGGGTTTGGACGGGAAGTTCCTTAAACGTCAACCCCCCCCCCCCCCCCGAATTGGTAGGTCACTACTAGGCAATTTCTGGAAATCCTACAGCAGGGGTGTCAAACTCATTTGTTATGAGGGCCGGATCTGACATAAATGAGACCTTGCGGGGGCGGGCCATGTGTGTCATAAAATGTAATGCCAGGTAGCGGAGATATAAACATTATAAAGGACACAAACACAAAGGTTTTTTTAACTTAAAATAAAAACATGCTTAAAACATCAGCACCCTTGCAATATTTTGTTTATTTAACAGTGTCTGATAACTAGCACCTTTTGCTCTGAATTATTGCATCAAAATGTCTGTGCTGTTGCAATCTTGAGTATGCTGTTCAGGTGTGTATCTGTAAGCTGCAAACCCACGATGATGCAGCAGCAGCAGAACTGGAAGAAGAAGAAGCAGAAGATAGCCAGTTCCACTGTGGGCCTGATAGAAGCCCTCCGGGGGCCTGATACAGCCCTCGAGCCGCATGTTTGACACCCCTGTCCTAGAGGTTGTTAAACCCCTCTTTTCAACCATTTGAAGATTTGTTCTTGTTACTGTGTGACTCATGAAACCAAGATGTCAAGGGGAAAAGTCAAAATAGTTTGCATGAAATTTGCTAAACTTTAGTATTAACTATCTAAAGTGGGCCTTTTGTTATAAAAGGTTTAGTTTTAAGCATTACCAAATAAACTGAAAAGGGTTTCTAGAACTACACTTGGTTCCTTGTTACTCTCCACTTGCTACCTAAAGCAGAACAGGTTATATGCAAAGCTGTTCCAGTAAGACAACAGTCGAATTTCCAATTTGGGAGGGGGGTTACTACTTGTTCTAAATGATTTTGTTTGTTTTTTATTTACTTCCTTTATAGTCACCTTTCTCATGGAGGCTCAAGGCAGGTTACAGAATTAGAAAACAGCGCAGTAAAAATGTAATGCATGCAATGAATCTCTCCTTATAATAATTGTGTTTTCGTCTCCCAACGTTCGATGTGTGCCAAAATAGGTTGGCCGCATGAACTGCCAGTCAGAAGATGCTGGCTGGGTTGGCTGGCTGCTTTGTGGAGTCCCGCCCACGTCAGTCCTGGCTAGCGTCATCGGCTCACTCTGCTCTGGTCCTTGGACAGGATGGGACCGTCTGCAGGGAAGTTGGGAGGGGAGGGACGAGGCCTCACTCTCCTTGGAGCGCCTGAACAGGACAGACGCTCCATTGGCTGGGGATCTCAGACTGATGGAGCTGCCGCCGCTGTCCTCACCCCACCGCAGATCGCTGCCTGGGCAGTGTGCGGCCAGACGATGGGCGGGACAGACGCTTTGCTGGGAGGGGGAGGGAAGGCCTCCGCCCGAGCCTGCTGCCGCCTCCCTCGCCAAGGCGGCCACAGCCTGGCGGAGACTTCCAGCTGCCCCCGCCCCACCTTTCCCCACTCAGCCGCCGCCATGGCCGGATGCCAGGAGACCTATTCAGGCCCTCCCTCGCCCGCCCACCGCCGCCATGCCCCACTGCGAGGATGCTGACTTGCAGCCGTGTGTCAGCTGGGTGGGAGCTGAAGAGCCCTTCCTTCACTCACCTCTCTTCCGGCACTGCGCTGACCCGTCTTCGCCCGCCCCCCGCCTTCTAGGGCCGCTCGGAGGCCTCCCGGACGTCCGGGTGGAGTGCAGCCTCTCCGCCAGTGGCTCAATAGACGCCTTGGCCCGCTGAGGCCTCCTCCAGCCAGAGAGGAATCAGGCCGACAGACTTGGCCCGCCACCGCCTTCATCCCGCCCTGCGCGGGGTGTGCCTGGCTGCCTCCAACTGTGGGAGCTGCCGCCGCTGTGGGACCTCTCTGCCGGTGGTACACTGACCACTGCCGGCCCGTCTTCGGCTGCCCCCCCACCTGGCTTCTTGGACTCCTGAGAGGCCTCCAGGAGGGGCGTGTGGCACCTGGCCTCTCTGCCGCCGCCCGCTGAATGCCGGCAGCCCGTCTTCGTGCCCCCTCCCCAGCTTCAGAGACCCTTTGGAGCCCTATGGGGCCGGCGAGTGCCATTGGGCCTCACCGCCAGCAGTGCGCCCGCGGAGATGGTGCGGGCCGTCCCCCCCCGCCTTTTCCTAATGCCCGTTGCCCAGCGCAGCCTCGCCCAGGAAGGTGGTGAGCCCTGCTGTGGGGCGGTGGCCCCGGCTGGCCTCGAGAACGGGGGAGGCGTCCACCGCCAACCCTTCTTCTACCCCCCGGTCCTGCTTGCCTGCCGCCGCAGGCCACTGGGGACAGACGTCCTGTGCACCCGCCGCCATTTGTTTCGGCAGCTGCCACAGGCGGCTCGGGACGCACCTGCTGAGGTGCCACCGCCACCTTTC